CTGACGACGACGACGACGACGACGACGACGACGACGACGACGACGCCGACGCCGACGACAACGCCGCCGAGGAAGACGACGACGACGCCGACGACTACGGCGACGACGACGACGACGACGACGACGACGACGACGACGAATCCATCTAGGACACGTCGACTCCGCGTGGAATCCACTCCGAATCTGAGTCGAACATGCGCCAACGCCGCATTGAGTCCGCGCCGGCCACGAGAAATCGTGTCAGGCAGGGGGGCAGACGAGGCCCCCGAGGATGCAGCGGCACCGCCCCCAGGCCCCGGGCCCGCCCGGCAGAGGCTCGGCGGCGCCGCCGAGGGAGGGGGGGGGGGGGGGGAAGCCGAGGGTGCAGACCTCCGACGAGGGGATGCCCTCCCTCTGGGGGGGCGTGCCTCCTCGGCCTCTCCTCCCCCCTTGCAGCCGCTCTCTCCCGCGTCTCCCGCTCCCTCCCTCTCGCCCCTTCCCTCCTGCTCCCTGATCCCTGTGCCCGCCCTCCCCGCTCCCCCGCGCCCCGTCTCCCCCCCCCCCCGCCCCATCTCCCGCGCCCCCGCCGCCGGAGGAGCGCACCAACTACCCCGCCCGTCATCGGCCCCGGGAGCCTCAGAAACGGAACGGGGGCGAAAGACTGGCCCCAGGGAAGGAGTCGGGACCCCAGGGGGCCGCGCGTTGACAAGAATCGCATCGTCGCCTCGGAAGGCTCGGAAGGCGCCTGGCCTTCCGAGGAGCTCTCTGCGCCTCTCCCCGAAGACAGGGGGGCGGCTTCTGGGGGAGGCTGGGGGGCCTCTCCCCGCCGCCTTCCGAGAGGGCCTGCCCCCCCTCTCGCTTCCCCCCCCCCTCTCTCGGCGCGCCGCCGAGGGGGCGGGGAGACGGAGCATCGCTGAGCCGATCCCCATCCCCACTGGCATGGCTTTGGCCCCACTGGCCAGCTCGCCCGCCTCGGGACTGGGGATGCACGGCGCTCCCTTCGGGCCTCGCGGGGCCCATCGCTACCTGGGGGGGGGGGCTGGTGGGGGGCTGAGGTACCGTGGCCCAGTAGGTTGGGAAGCAACTCCTGGGAGGTCTTCGTCAGAATGATGTAAAAGCTGTAAAGCCCCATTGAGCTGATTCAGCCCAGGATAAACCCAAAACTTAGGCCGATGAAGCTGGAGAAAACGGAATTCAGCGGGATGATGCTGGATCAGGCCAGTTTGGAACACGGATAGACTGATGATTCTGACCTTCCAGGAGTTGCATCCCAACGTCGGGATGGAAATCGGTCAGACGGTGCTGAAACAATGCATCCGGCAGAGGCATCCCAAATGGGGTCCGAGTAGATCGGGTCGGCGATGCATCGTCGACGCCAGCGTGGAGAAGATCGGGCTCCACGTCGAGCCGCATCGGCGATGCGGAGCGAGCCTTCGATCCCGTCCACCCGGACTCCACTTGGGAGGCTTGGGCAGGCGATGCTGAAACAGTGCATCCTGCGCGCAGGCACCAGCCGTGGACGGGCACGCGCTCGGCCCAGGATCGCCGCTCGGAAACCCCTCCGGGCCAGGGCCAGGAGGGCGCGCACGTGCGCACGTGCGCGCGCACGCCGATCCCGTGGCCCCGCGCGGTCCCGTCCCAGGCCTCCGTGCCGGCGCGCCGCGAGGCCCCCGCAGTCCTGAGCCGGGGTCGATGTCCCGCTGGTCCTGCGCGCGCCCGGGCCCCCCTTCACGGCTCCACGCGAGGGCAGCACGGCAGAGCACAAGTGGGCCAGAACAGCTGCTGGACTGCTGGCTGGCTCGGTGACCGGTTCCACACACGACTGCTCGACTCATGCATGACCGCGCGCATCACGTTCACAGCACTGGCAGCACGCAGATGGTAGGTAAGAGCTCGCAGGCAATGTTTGGTGGGAATCGACTGGCAAATCGTCACACAAGTAACAGCAGTAATTCTTGCGCTTGCAAAAGAAATATAGTAGTAATGGTCCCGATAAGCGCAGTAGGTATCGTTATCATCCGCCGACCCCCGCTTGCCAGGGGGAAAAGGCGTGTGAGACATTTGGGTGTCCCCCGCCTCCCTCTCCCCGAGAATCCAAAATGCCGCTTGAAGGAGGGGGGAAACTGAACAGCGCTCCTCCCGGGCCTTCGGAGCGTCCAAATCCACCACCCGTGGGCACACTTATTGCGCTCCCGAAAAACAGCTTTTGAAAATGTTCACCTTCTCACCTTTTCGGGCTTATGCAAGCCCAGGAGGGCCCGGATACGACCCGCACAGGCCTCCAAGACAGCCCAAAGAGGGGGAAAGCGCAGGGGGCCCAGAAGCCCTGCCCCACAAGATGGCCCCGAGAACTCCACGAGGCCCTCAGGAGAGCCCCCAGGAGCCCAGAAAAGGTTCCCCCCGGGGCCGCCCCCGAGGCCTCCAAGGGGCCCCCAAGAGGCCCTGCAACAGACGCGGAGGAAGAGGGAGAGGAAGAGGAAGGCGGATCAGCAACAGGTGCACGCAGGCGGCACGACGGGAAGCGGTGAACAACAGATACGACATCAGAAGCCGCACATCTCCTTCTGGGAAATGGCGGAATGGCGCAAACGTATCGAGGGAGGCGAATAGGGCGAGTAGTCTGTACCAGTTGTGCTAGTATTCGCCAGCGTGCCTCTGTCGGGGAGGCGTGGGGCTCGGGTTTGGGAGGCTCGGCTTGGCCAAACGGGGCCATCCAGCAAATGACGAGAACCAGTCTGAAATTTGGCGCGGGCTCCCCCTGCAAACATTCCACGAAAACTCGACCGTCAAAACTCAGGACGGGCCCGTCATGAAGCGTCGGCAAAGCCGAGGTCTGGCGAACATGAACGAGCCCTGCTTCCCCGACCCTGGGACCCTTCTGCCGGAGGGTTCCAAAGGGGATTTTAGGGGAGGGGTTCTCCAGAGAGCCCCCCAGGGGAACCTCGTCAGAACAGGGGGCGCGAAGCCCCTGGGGGACCCCATCCTGGACCCCCCCCCCCCAAAAGCCCCCTTTGCAACCCTCCGGTTCTGGAAAGAGGCCCCGCGAGGGCTCCTGGGGTGGGGAGGGGGAGGGGGAGGGGGGGGGGGAGGGGGAGGTGGAGGGGGGAGGAGGAGGAGGAGGGAGGAGGAGGAGGAGGAGGAGGAGGAGGAGGAGAGGAGGAGGAGGAGGAGGAGGAGGAGGAGGAGGGAGGAGGAGGAGGAGGAGGAGAGGAGGAGGAGGAGGAGGAGGAGGAGGAGAGCAGGAGGAGGAGGAGGAGGGGGAGGGGAAGGGGGGGGAGGGGGAGGGGGAGGAGGGGAGGAGGAGGAGGAGGAGGAGGAGGAGGAGGAGGAGGAGGAGGAGGAGGAGGAGGAGGAGGAGGAGGAGAGAGGAGGAGGAGGAGGAGGAGGAGGAGGAGGAGGAGGGGGAGGGGGAGAGGGGAGGGGGAGGGGAGGGAGGGGGAGGGGAGAGGGGGAGGGGAGGAGGAGGAGGAGGAGGAGGAGGAGGGAGGAGGAGGAGGAGGAGGAGGAGGAGGAGCAGGAGGAGGAGGAGGAGCAGGAGGAGGGAGGAGGGAGGGAGGGAGGGAGGGAGGGAGGGAGGGAGGAGGAGGAGGAGGAGGGAGGAGGAGGAGGAGGAGGAGGAGGAGGAGGAGGAGGAGGAGAGGAGGAGGAGGAGGAGGAGGGAGGGAGGGAGGGAGGGAGGGAGGGAGGGAGGGGGAGGGAGGAGGAGGAGAGAGGCGAGACGGCCGAAGACGGCCTCCAGAAGGGGCCCCGAAGGTCCCCAGCGCGGGCCCCGGCAGAGGGGCCGCCTGGAGAGGGCCACTGTTTCGTCGCAGCGGCGGGAGGCCTCGCCGCCTTCGGGGCAGCCGTGGGATGCAACGGATCGGAATGAAGGGGCCCTGGGACACACAAATAAATACACACAATTAACAGTATTCCCCATATGTTCCATACTTTGAAAATTTTCGTTTTCCCCCCCACTTCCCATATTTTCGCATATTTTCCTTGGAGTCGAGGATTAGTTGTGCCTGTGTGCATTTTCCATCCTGGCGAAATTGGGCACAGCAGGCGAAGGCAGAGATGCAGCGCGCAGAGAGGGAGAGGAGCACGTTCAGAGCGTGAAGCTCTCGAGCGTGTGTGCTGGAGCACGTGCAGGGCCAGGAGGGCCACGGAAGGCCCCGGGGGCCAGCCCGCGGGGCCCTGGGAGGCGCCGCGGGGCTCTTCGAGAGCGCCCCCAAGAGGGCCAGCTCCTCGGCCACGGCTGGCGACAGCAGTGGCTCACCAGGGGCGCCTTCGAGAATCCCTGGAGCTATTATCAAGTTCGAGCGCAATCATCACCATGATCGTCACCACGATCATCATCATCATCATCATCATCATCATCATCATCATCATCATCATCATCATCATCATCATCATCATCATCATCATCATCATCATCATCATCATCATCATCATCATCATCATCATCATCATCATCATCATCATCATCATCATCATCATCATCATCATCATCATCATCATCATCATCATCATCAGCATCAGCATCATCATCATCATCATCATCATCATCCTCATCCTCATCATCATCATCATCATCATCGTCATCATCATCAGCAGCAGCATCATCATCATCAGCATCATCATCGTCATCATGTCCATCAGCATCATCATCAGCATCATTATCGTCATCATCATCATCATCATCATCATCTCATCATCATCAGCATCTCATCATCATCCTCAAAATCAAAATCATCAGCAGCAGCAGTATTATCATCATCAGCATCATCATCAGCATCATCATCAGAATCATCATCATCAGCAGCATCAGCATCATCGTCAGTATCAGCATCAGCATCAGGATCAGCATCAGCATCATCAGAATCAGAATCATAATCGGCATCAGCAGCAGCAGCATCAGCAGCAGCAGCATCAGCATCAGCACCATCATCCCCATCATCATCATTATGATCGTAACCAACACCAACACCACCATCGTCATCATCTTCACCATCATCATCAACAACAGCAGCAACAACAAC